GGAGAACTTTCATATTTTGTATCTAATTTAATTCTTATAATTAGGGTGAACTTATAATTAATTTATTATTTGAACTATGACATTTTTATTTGGATAAGAGTGTTTACTAATAATTACATTAGAAAGAAATTTGTAAACTTGAAGTGTTGGGCAGAACAAGATGCATAGTCACCATACATAAACAAATTTTCTGAGGACAGAAGTATATAGATATATTATACATATTTCAGAACTGAAAAGTTAAAAAAAAAAAAAGAACTTAAAAGAATTGATCAAGGGCCAGGAATGTGGGAATGCCTAGCATGCACAAGGCCCTGGGATCTATATGCAGTATCTTTAAAAAAAAAAAAAAAGTCTGATTAAATCAAATAATAAAATAGTGTTTCTTAATATAAAAAACAAAAAATTCTTGAATTTATCTGTGCATATTTCTTGTCATTGAAATAAAAATAAAACAACAGTATTGGTTTGGTAGCTCCTTTAAAATTTAAAGCATACTGTGTACTATTAGGAATCCTACACTCTAGGAATACATAAACTTTTGTTTACCTTAATATCTTAAAGCTACTAAAATTTCTGAAACTTCTTAGTATTATGCCAAGAAACCTAAGGTGTCAATGGTGATAATTAATGTGTGGTTACAGGAAATTATTGATTTGTATGAGAGGCTTTTGAGCTTCAAATCCTCCATATGAATAGTACTAGAATGGGAACTGACAGAGAATGAAATTAGACAAGTCACTTCATGACGATGAGTGAACAAAATTATTTAGTGAGCTATACTATTTTTTTATAAAAATAATCATGTAGGGTGTCATTAAGTGAAACCATCATTGTATCAGTGGCTTTGTTTGAAAGTTAAAAACATGTTGATCATGTTTGAAGGTGTCATTAGGTAGAAGAAAGTGGACAAATGATGTTTGCCAGTGCTTTGGCTGGTAGAATTATACAGCTGAATAATCTACCTATTTAGCCAACCATGAAAAAAGGAAGAAATAAGTGATAGGTATTAATTATAGACTAGGGACAGAAAAATTGCAGGCACTGCAAAATACCAATGGCAAATGTGTCTTGGTTAGCCAACAGAGTGCTTTTAACGATTTTGAATTTGAAACCTTTAGCAGGTTAGCAAGCATCTAATTTTGCACCTCTCCATGTGTCCCCACTCAGGTCTCTAGCAGTGTCCTTGCTAGTTTGATGATGTTTTTCCGGGAACTAAAAAAAAAAATACTGTTAGGGTTGGATTGAGAAAATAAGCTCTAATGTTGTGCATGGAGGCTACACTTCACTACAATTTATCGTATACTTCCCTTATGATGCAAACATTAGGAATGCACAGTGCCTAAAAGCAAGATGACTTTTAACTCAATGTGAGAAAATATGCAAGAAAATTTTTAAGACATCACTAAAAAGACTTTGACTCCCTCGTATAATTTAATGCATACTTGAAAAATATAGTAGTTTGCACTTACATACACCTATGAAAATGACATATCTACCCTTATTTCAATTAAAATAAATTACTAATATTTATACTTTTATGCTTCTTCTTTTACCTTTTTAAGGTAAAACAAATATCTCAATAGTTTACTGAAAAAGTCACTCAAATGAAAAAAAAATGAAAAACTCTATAGTTTACTGAGAAAGTCACTCATATCCAAAAAAGTGGATATGATGAAATATAGTGAAGTTAAAGACTCTTAATATTTATATGGATAAGCTTATGTTGATGAGAACTTTGCATATTTAGGTAGACTGAATAAATAATACCTGCTAGATCAATATCACATTAAAATAATTTAATTTATGTACAAAGGTTTAATGTAAAAGGTAAATTAATAGTGTTATTTCCTTTGAAGAAAAGAAGTTGTGTAGCTAGTTAGGGTAGTATAGAAGGCAAACTTCATCATTGCTAACTCCCAGGTTTGAGAGCATGAGGAAAAAGAACTACTGATTTCATAAAGAAGCTATTGAAGTAAAAAATTCATGTATAGAATTGATTTCATCCATCAATGGTTGAGTACACTTTCTTCTCAGCAGCACAAGAATCCTTATTTAATATAGACCATGTTATGCAAGCTATCACATATGTTGGCATGCAACTGCAATATTACCTTAATATATTTTTGATATTTTTGTGTTTTTGCATTTTTCTTGATTAGACTTATTTGATTGTTATCAACTTTTAGCTATATTAGTTCTTCTCTATTTGATATATTTCTGCTCCTGCTCTTATTTTTCCTTTCTACTTCTTAATTTGAAAATAATTTGATTGTTTCTCTAGCTTCTTTATGACACAAGTACTTTCGTTATAAATGTTCATCTAAGTACTGTTTCATTCTAGAGATCTCATATTTTAATCTCTTATTATCAATTAGTTCAAAACATTTTATATGTACTTGTATTTTCTTCCTTGATCTGTGAGATATTAATAAATGTGTCATTTAATTTTGAAGTAGTTGACATGTAGGAGTGAGGTTCTATGCATCTTAAAGTGGTCGAAATCATGTAATAAATCATGCAGGAAACACAGTCTGCATGATTTTAAATTTAAAAAATAATGGAAATGGAAATGCCTTTTATATTGATTGGATTGGTTACATACATGTCAAAACATGTCAAAGCTGATCAAATTACAAAAAAAAAAAAAGTGCTAGCAATGTAATCAATGGCAAAGTACCCCTGGATTCAATTGCCAGTACCAAAAATTTTTAAAAATAAATAAATAAATAAAAAAGTTTGCCATGGGCTGGGGATGTGGCTCAAGCGGTAGCACACTCGCCTGGCATGCATTCGGCCCGGGTTCGATCCTCAGCACCACATACAAAGATGTTGTGTCCGCCGAAAACTAAAAAATAAATATTAAAATTCTCTCTCTCTCTCTCTCTCTCTC